CTTTTCAGGTTGTATTAATATTCGGTATAAATGGTGCATGTAGACGTCAAGAGTTGGCAAACATAACAACTAATGATGTCGAGAACCATGAGCGGGTTCTTCTTGTCCAGGTCAAAAACACAAAAAATAAAATTCCAAGGTCGTTCACAATACAGGGGCCTTTTTACGACGTAGTGAAGAAATACGAAGCGCTTCGTTCAACAAAAGCTAATTCCAACAGATTTTTTCAAAATTACCAGAATGGAAAATGCACTGACCAACCCATTGGCATTAATAAAGTGGGAGCAATGCCGAAAGAAATTGCCACTTTCTTAAATTTGCCTCAAGCACATGAATACACAGGTCACAGTTTCAGAAGGTCCTCGGCTACATTGCTCGCCGATTCAGGTGCGGACTCATTGACACTAAAACGCCACGGAGGATGGCGGTCAAGCAATGTAGCCGAAGGATACATAGAAGACTCGATAAGAAATAAAGAAGAAATTAGCTCTCGCATTACAAGGAACATAAATTTGGAGTCAAGTGTTGACTTTCAACCATCTACGAGCACACACGCGTACATTCCATCATCGTCGCCGCAGCCGCAACCGCCTCCGCCGCCGCCACCGACTGCAGAACTCTGTGGTCTCGTTTCTCCTACTTTCACTCAAGAGAGTGAGAGAGAGACTGGGGAGATTGTAACTAATAATAATAACTTGACAACGTTAAAAATGCCAACTGGCAACGTAACAATCACTTTTAAAAATTGTTCAAATTTCTATAACTGCTTTAACAAGTAATTAAAGATTTATTCATTTAAGAAAGTCAGAGTCTTATTTATTTCCTCGCAAATACTCGTATGTTACAAAACGTCGTATCACATACGTGCGCTTTGAAAATTACAGCGTCTGCTTTCTTATAGCCCTCGCCTACGGCTCGGGCTAGCAATATCACCTCGGCTGTAATTTTCAACTTACCGCACTTATATCATAATGTACTATTATAATTTCAATAATAATTTCTCACTTGCTATTAATAATTTTTCAATAATTTCTCAATTAATAAATTTTCTAAAATGCATCACTCAGTTGCCATGCCCGACAATGTCCATATATGCTCTCTGTATCTATATATTTTGTAACACCCTGTCATTACGGAAAAGCAATAAAGTATTTCTTTAGTTCATAAATTTAACAGCCATAGTATTAATCTTGCCCTTTATCCGAGTATAACATTGATAAAACTACCCGTTGCGATTCCAATTTCATTTTCCATTCCAGAATAATTGACAAGTAAAACAGAAAGGTGGGTATGTTAACTCAAAATCCAGTGAACAAAACAGGAGTGCCGAGCGAGTGAAATGACGCGGGAACCACGGCCACTTTGGACTGCTAATCCTTTTATCGCCTCGTGCCGGTCGCCCTTTCGTACACTTCGTTAATTAAAACCTCTAAAAATAAACCGACCAACAAAAGATT